TTTGCTGAAGCAGCTGGAGAAGGATGGAGCCGTTAAGGGTCTGAAGCTGAACGGACAGCCACCCGATGACAACTGTGAAATCTGTTTGCTTTCAAAGTTCACCCGTTTCCCTTTCCATAGTGTGGCTGGCAGGAGCAAGAAGCCTTTGGAGCTGGTCCACATGGACTTGGTGGGGCCGCTGCCGGTGCAAGGGCACAAGGGGGAGCGGTATTTTCTTACAATTGTGGATGACTGGAGCAGGCTGATGTGGGCGTATCCGCTGAAGCAGAAGGACCACGCCGCCTCCACGATACGGGACGATTGGCTGCCATTCGTGGAGAAGCAGGCGGAGTGTGTAGTGAAGCGGATTAGGACAGACCGGGGTGGTGAGTTCCTTGGAGCTGAAATGACGGCCTGGCTCAAGAAGCAGGGCATCCAGAGAGAGCTGACCACGGCTTATACCCCACAGTCCAATGGTGTAGCAGAACGGGCAAACCGGACCATTCTGGAGACAGCTAGGGCGCTGCTCATAGAATCTGGGCTGAGCAATTCTATGTGGCCTCATGCTGTCCGGCACGCCACTGTCGCTAGGAACAGGGTGCTCACCAAGGTTGGGGATGACTCGTGGGTGCCTTTGGAGAGGTGGCTTGGGAGGAAGCCGCCGGTGGACATGCTGAGGGTGTTCGGTTGCATGGCAGTCGCCCACGTCCCCAAGACCTACCGCAGTAAGTTGGGGGCGAGTGCAATCTGGTGTGTGCATTTGGGGCTGGCTGCTGAGAGCAAGGGATGGCTGCTGTGGGAACCATCCAAGGGTGTGTTGTTTGACAGCAGGGATGTGAAATTCATTGAGGGCATGATGTATGGGAGCTGGGAGAAACAGCCGGAGGCAAGGGTGTCCCAGCAGATGGAGCAGATCACCATGCAGCTGGACCTGACTCCTAGTGTGTGGGAGGAGGGAGAGGAGGCAGCTGCTGGAAATGGTGATGGAGAGAAGGTACAGGAGGCATCTGCTGGTGGAGAAAATGGTGTGGAAACTGGCGGCAGCACTAGTGGAGCTGCTGGACCCGAGGGAGGAGAGAAGCAGCAGGGAAAAACTAAGAAGCCGAAGGGAGTCGTTATGAAGGGATGGGAGACACCCGTCTCCAGGCCAGGACGTACCCGTATGGCTACTAAGAAGCTGACTGCAGGAACTGATGCAGCAGAGCAGCAGCTAGGGACCGAAGAGGCATTGCTAATTCTACCTCATGGCTATGACCCGGATGAGGAGGATGAGCCTGCGTACTGTTTTCTTGCCCCTGCACCAGAGGAACCAGCTAGCATGGAGGAGGCATTAGCTGGACCAGATAGGAACAAGTGGCTGGCTTCTAGGGATGCTGAGTACCAGAGTCTGCTGGAGAATAGGACATGGGATCTGGTGGTGCTGCCTGATGGGAAGAAAGCGATACAATGCAAGTGGGTGCTGAGGATCAAGACCGATGACAAGGGGCAGGTCACCATCTACAAGAGTAGGCTGGTGGCGAAGGGGTTTATGCAGAAGGAGAAGCAGGACTTCAACGAGATCTTTGCTCCCACTGCCAAACCCCCTACCCTCCGTGTCTTGTTGGCAGATGCGGCTGTTAGTGGGAAATTCATCATTCAGATGGATATTTCAACGGCATTCCTGAATGGGATTTTAGAGGAGGATGTGTACATGACGCAGCCGCCTGGGTATGAGGATGGTACGGGCAGGGTGTGCAAGCTCAACAAGTCCATCTACGGCTTGAAGCAGGCGCCACGCTGCTGGTACCAGAAGTTGGCAGCTGTTTTAGAGGAGATGGGATTCAGGACCAGCAGCTGTGATGAGAGCCTCTTTCTCAAGGGCGAGGGGGAGAAGCTGGTGCTGTTTCTGGTCTATGTGGACGACATTCTTCTCTTCAGCAGCAGCATGAAGGAGATCCAGAAAGTGCAGCAGCAACTGATGGAAAACTTCAAGTGCAAGAACCTTGGGGAGGTAAAGTACTACCTCGGGATGCACGTGGAGAGGGATCCAGATCACAGGTGGTTGAAGCTGCACCAGGAGAAGTTCATCAAGGAGCTGGGGGAGAAGTATGGGATTGAGAATGAGCGCAAGGTTGCAACTCCCCTGCCAGCAGAATTCAAGCTTGTGAAGGCTGCAGAGGATGAAGGGGTTGAAGCTGAAGAGCAGCAGCAATTTCAGTCCTTGGTGGGCAGCCTCTTGTACGCAGCAGTTCACACGAGGCCCGACATCTCTTTCTCGGTTGGGCAGCTGGCTAGGGTGGTGCAGAATCCATCAGAGGAGCAGGTGGATGCAGCTGAGCGTGTGGTGAAGTACCTGAACTCTCACCCAAGCATTGGAGTTCAATACTCCGCATCTGCACAGGTGAAGCAGAAAGGGGTGGAGGTGCTGAAAGAGAAGGGGGAGAGGCTTGGAGAAGGCAAGCTATTTCTCACTTGCTTTACCGATGCTACGTGGGCTTCTGAGAAGGAGGATTCCTCATCTGTGGGAGGATACATCTGCGTAGTTGGGGGAGGACCTGTTAGTTGGAGGTCCAAGAAGCAGACGGAGACGGCACTCTCTTCCGTAGAATCAGAGTACATGGCGATGTTCCATGGGGTGAAGGAGGTGATTTGGCTGAGGAGGCTGTTAGAGGAGATTGGCCAGGAGCAGAAAGTTGCTACGCCGCTGTTTTGTGATAGCAAGGGGGCTCTTGGGATGGCCAGAAACGCTGTGCTTCATGGGCTGAACAAGCACATGCGTATCAAGTGGCACTGGCTGCGTAAGGAGGTGAAGAGGGGGACGGTGCATCCGATCTACATCAAGACTCACCAGCAGCCAGCAGACTTTCTCACCAAGAGGCTTGCGGATGAGCCTCATTGGCGTTGTGTGCGCATGAGTGGAATGAGCATGAACTAGCATGGAATGACGGGGATGCAGCCGGCAGGCTGAGGGGGAGTGTGTTGGGTGCAAATGCACATTGCACGACATCCTGCCGTCTGTTTGTACGAGTATGCGTGTGCGAATGCATTTGCGTGTGAATGGTGTGTTCGTGTGTTTGTTTGCTTTCGCAATTTTCGCTTGATGCATTTGCAGGTACTCGCGCAATGTGCGCTTCGGCACAACATTGTACGCGCTATGAACAGTGCAAGCAGAAAGGACGAGCTCGCAAAGGAACCCAAGATGGAAGCTTTGCAGTTCGGTTGAGTTGATTGCGCAGATTCAGTTCTATCCAACTCGGAATTGTACTGTTTTGTTTGGTTAACTATAGTGTAGCAGGGAAGGCACTATAGGGGTACAATTTAGGTGAAGGTTGGATGTTGTTTGTCTGTATCTGCATGCTACAAGGCCAGGGGAAACCAGCGGAACCAGCATTTGGCTGGTTGGGCAAAGACAAAACAGGTTCTGTTTTTAGAACCTGAACCTGGTTGTTGTTTTCCCAGGTTGGAAAAACAGAACCAGAGGTTGTTTACCAACCTACCACCTGCTATTTTGTCCAGCCAGGTTGGTTCTGTTGCTTGGAATTATTTGGGATCATCCCTGGTTGTTCCCAGGTTGATTCCCAAGGTCCTTGCTAGCTAGAACTATTTAATCCTTCTCTGTTTGTACCTGAACATAGTCAAATTGATTCAAGAGAATTCCTTCCTCGCTGGAATTTCGTTTCTGCGCTATTCGACGGCGGAATGCTACCCGAGTCAACGCTAGTATGCTAGCACTCCAACGCTAGGCAAACGCTGTCCGAGCCATAACTTAGTAATGGCAGAACTTTTCGCGAGGCAACTTGGCTCATTTTAAAGCTCTTGGAGCGAGCTTCGATATAGCGAATTCTCAGCTTAATCCGACCGACGGTCTGCATGGCACGCTGCGCGACGTTCAAGGTACTCTTGCTGTTTTGACTAAGTCCTTCTTGATCCCTCTCTCTACAAACTCGGACCCGAGGATAGGGGCTGGTCTTGTACCAGGCACCCAGGGACCCTTGGAGGTGACCCCGAGGAGAGGTTTTAAGTTTGATTAAGTCCTAATAGCTTGAGTTTATTAGGCCCTTACACCAACAGGTTGCAGTAGTCCGTCGCCGTCTCCTGGTCGCCCATACGCAGGTGCGTCAGCTGCCCTTCAAGCTGGGCGATGAACAAGTCGTCGGTGACTTGGTAGGTCGACTCGATGAAGTGCCACGCCCGGTGGCCGGCGTCGATGTGCTCCCTGCACGACTTCAAGGCGATTTGCACGCCCGGCGAGCAGCACCGCGAGATGACCGTGAAGGTCAGCAGCTGCAAGGCGCGAAACTCCGCACGCAAGTCGGGGTCATCCGGCGTCGCCACGGTACCGCGAGCAAAGTTGATCAGCCCGGCCATCTCCAGCTGGGGCTCAATGGCTTCCTTCCAGGTGAGAATGTCAGGTCGACCGACCAGCAGGGGAGTGACCAAGATCCTGTCCGGCGTAAACTTGAAGTAGCCGTAGCTCGGTGCAATCCCGCCTGCTGTCACCTGGGTCGCCGACATCGGCAAAGATCCACTTCGTCGACCTCCGACGTCACCCTGCGAGGAGCCTGCAGCCGCCGACGACCGCATCCCTCGCGCCCGAACGCCGCCGACTTCATCGGCGTGAATCACACCACGCTGCCTCGACGTGCCTCCCGCACTACTGCCGACATGCGTTAGTTCGTTCCTTAGTCATTTCCTTGTCCGCACACTACTTGCTAGTTGACGGGGAGAATTGGCAAGAGTTCCACTAGGCAACACAGGCAACAACGTTGCAACACAGGCTACATCAGAGCTAGCTAGGCTGCTGGTCGACCTCTAGCGCAGCACGGTCGACCGCGTTCCAGCGCAGCAGTGCTCGCACCGCTCCAGCGCTGCAGAGATGCGGCGCGCCAACGTTGCATGTCCACGGTGTGCCAACGCTGCAGCAAGTCGGCTGCACAGCATTGCACCCGCAGGACAACGGTAACCCTGCTTCGCAGGTGTGCGCGGCTGGTTGGCGTCCAACTCCCCGTCACGTGCCCAGCGCAGACATTGTCAAACATTGCATGTCCTGCCCTCTCAGGACGTCACTTTTGACGAGTCCGTCCCCTACTACCGCCTCTTCCCCTACCGCACTGCCCCGCTCCCCCCCCCCGCCTCTCTTCCTCGCTCCAGGTGCTGCTGTGCTAGACCCCCTCCCCCCTCAGGGTGCCGCTCCCTCAGGTGTGTCCCAGGTAGACCCGGTTGAGCCTGTCGAGGTAGCTGTCGACTCTCGTCCTGCTAGGGGTGCTGAGTCTGAGCGTGCGGAGCCTGGGGGTGCGGAGCCTGGGGGTGCTGAGCCTGGGGTTGCGGAGTCTGGGGGTGCTGAGCCTGGGGGTGCTGAGCCTGGGGGTGCGGAGTCTGGGGGTACTGAGCCTGGGGGTGCTGAGTCTGGAGGTGCTGAGCCTGGGAGTGCTACACCTGGAGGAGCCCTCTCCTCACAGCAGCTGCAGGAGAGGTACTTACAGTACTGCAGCCTCAAGAGCGGTGCTTCTGGAGCCAGGAGTGCTGCTGGAGCTGGTACTAGTGCTTCCCCTCCTAGACGGGAGCTGCCCTCCCTTCAGCGGATCCGAGAGTGGTACACGCGGCGCTGCAGTCTTCGGAGTGGCGCTCCTGGTGTCGCGGACCCTGGTGCTGGAGGTGCTGCTGCTGCTGGTGCTGCTGGTGCTGCTGGTGGTGCTGCTGGTCCTGGACCTGCTGCTGGTGCTGGAGCTGCTGGAGGTGCTGCTGCTGGCGCTGCTGCTAGCGCTACTCGTGGTGCTGCTGGTGCTGCTGGAGGTGCTGCTGGTGCTGCGGACCCTGGAGTTGGAGCTGCTGCTGGTGCTGCGGACCCTGGAGTTGGAGCTGCTGCTGGTGCTGCGGACCCTGGAGTTGGAGCTGTGGCTGGTGCTGCGGACCCGGACGTTGGAGCTGCTGCTGGTGCTCCGGACCCGGGAGTTGGAGCTGCTGCTGGTGCTGAGGACCCTGGCGCTGGTGTCTCTGCTGGTTCTGGAGACGCTACGCGGCCGCGACCGTACTTCGTGCCGCTCCTTCAGCAGGTTCTTGGTCAGACTCCTCCTCCTTGTCCTCCTCCCTCCTTAGAGTGTCCTCCGCCTGTCCAGTCGCAGTCACAGTTACCGCCTGCCTCGCCTCTCCCTGGTCCTTCTCCTTACACTGGTCCCACAGGAGGTCTTACGGAGCGTCGTGAGCCTGAGTCTCGTCCTGTGTCACCTGCGTCTCGCTCTGCGTCGCCTGTTCGTGCTGCTCGCACTGGTCGTCGTGTCCCGCGTGAGCGTCCTCCTCCTGTCCCTGGCACTCACTACATGACTTTGCTGTCAGAATCACTAGGCAAGAATGAATGAACTAGCAGAAGTTTGGGTACAAATATGAAACCCTAGTTGGGGTTGTACCCCATATTGGCTACCCCACTACAGCCTACAAGCATAATACAGTTTAACACACCCCCATAGGCAAAGTGGGGGAGAACAAAGGGTCACAAGACCAGTCCAGCAAAGCAAAGCAAAGCCCAGGGTGGATCACAACGTCACCACACTCCGAGCACAAGTAAAGGCCACAAGGCCAGTTCACATGCAGCGCTAGATATAGTACAAGACAAGCAACACAGTGATCAAAACCTAGCAAGCAAGCAACAAGATATATATAAAGTACAGTACAAAGAATGTCAAGCAGTGAGCAAGTGAGGAAACGTGGACACAAGGCCTAAAGAAGTACAGTGCCGCTGATGATCACTAGGCGGGAGCGCCTTGGTGAAGATATCAGCAGTGTTGGCCTTCGAGTCCACGTACACAAGCCGAAGCTGACCGCGCTGCTGAAGCTCTCGAGCAAGAAAGTAGCGAAGAGCAATGTGCTTCGTCCTGTGCTCCAGTCTGTGCTCCTGACACAAGGCAAGAGCCGCCTTGTTGTCACCGTACAGAACTGGAGGAGAACTAGGCCGCTCTCCCAAGTCAGTCAGCAGGTAGGTGAGCCAGCGTAACTCCTGTGCAGCCATGGCTGTGGCGTAGATCTCAGCCTCACAACTAGAGCCGAGAACAGAAGAAGAGCGGGTGGACCGCCACGAGACAGAACCAGAGCCAAGGCTGAAGGTGTAACCCTGTGACGACCGCTGCGTAGCCAGGTCGTCCACCCAAGAAGCGTCCGAGTGGCCAGTGAGGACAACTCTGTCACGTCCTCCAAGCACCAGCCCCATGCCTGATGTACTGCACAAGTAGCGCAGCACCCTCTTAGCAGCCTCCCAGTGCTCTCGCCTGTGTCTCCCAGGCGCAACGTAACGAGCAAGGATGCTAAGAGGGTACGCGAGGTCAGGTCGCGTGCAAGTCATCAGGTACATGAGGCAGCCCACAAGCTCTGGGTACGGGCCACTCGGCTCTACGGACTCGTCCGAAGGTGGAGCTGAGAGCGAGTGGCTGGTAGCCAGAGGTGTGGCCTGTGGTGAGGAGAACTGGAAGCCGAAGCGCTGAAGGACCTGCTGCACCATGTGTGACTGAGTCAGGGTGATGGTGCGGCGAGCTCTGTCCCGGGTGATCTGCAAGCCAAGGTAGCTACGCAGCTCACCCAGGTCAGTGCAGGTGTGTCTCTTCTGCAGCTCCGACTTCACACGAGCGAGTGCCTCAGTGTCAGCAGTAGCAAAGATCAAGTCGTCGACGTACACTAGAATGTAGAACGGCGGCAGCGACGTGTCTGTGCGCAGAAACAGCGACGGGTCAGCAGTAGACGGCGCGAACCCAAGAGCCGCAAGTGTAGTCCTCAGTGTGTCGTGCCACTCGCGTGGCGCCTGGCGGAGACCGTAGACTGGCCGGCGGAGGCTCCACTGGGTACCAGGAGGAAACGACCCAGTAAAGCCAGGTGGGCGGCGCAGCCAGATCTCCTCGTGCAGGCTGCCCTGCAGGAACGCTGTGCTGAAGTCAAGAGAGTGAAGCTCGTAGTCACGCTGAGCAGCAACGTGCAGCAGAACCCAAAGAGTGGTCATCTTCGGGGTGGGGGAGAAGGTCTGGAAGAAGTCGACCCCCTGACGCTGACTGAAGCCTCTAGCAACGTAACGAGCCTTGAAGACAGGCGGAGAACCTGGCGGCCGCTTCACCCTGAAAATCCACATGCCATCGACGATGTTCGCCCCAGGAGGGGGAACCTCGTCGACGTAGGTGCCTGTGGACTTCCAGGATGCCATCTCTGCGTCCATGGCTGTCTGCCACTGAGAGGAGTAGGGACCCGAGGTCGTCTCTGCGTAAGTGCGCGGAGTCGGGATGTCTAGTGCATCCGGGTCTCCCTCAGGGGCAAGCAACCAGGCCACGAGATGAGGTACAGCAGCCGCGAGAGAGTCAAAGTCCTCCTGCCTGTCCTCAAGGACGTCCGTGCCAAGAGCACACTCACCCCCGATGGACGGAGGACAGACAGACGCAGACGCAGACTCAGCAACAAGGCTAGCAGCGTAGTCTAGACGACAGGCAGCAGTAAAGTCAACCAACTCAGCGACCAGAGCAGACGCAGCCGAGGACTCAAAGGTAGGGTCAGTGACAACAGTAGCTAGGAGACGCGTGACAGTAGGGTGCTCAGCACGATACCGGTCAGACTCAGGGTCCGGAACGGCAGGCAAAGAGGACGCAGGAGGAGACGGTAGAGGGACACGCTGAGGAGCAGTAGACGGACGCAGAGTCATGTAGTGAGTGCCTGGGACAGGAGGAGGACGCTCACGACGGACACGACGACCAGGGCGAGCAGTACGAACAGGCGACGCAGGACGAGACTCAGACTCACGACGCTCTGTAAGACCTCCCGTGGGACCAGTGTAAGGAGAGGGAGCAGGGAGAGGCGAGGTAGGCGGTAACTGGGACTGCGGCTGGACAGGCGGAGGACACTCTATGGAGGGAGGAGGACAAGGAGGAGGAGCCTGCCCAAGAACCTGCTGAAGGAGTGGTACGAAGTACGGTCGCGGCCGCGCAGCGTCTCCAGAAGCAGAAGAGACTCCAGCGGCCGGGTCCTCAGTACCAGCAGGAGCTCCAGCATCCTGGTCCCCAGCACCAGCAGCAGCGCCACCGCTCGGGTCCTCAGCTCCAGCAGCAGCTCCAACGTCCGAGTCCTCAGCACCAGCAGCAGCTCCACCAGGTGGGTCCGCAGCACCAGCAGCAGCACCACCCCCAGGGTCCGCAGCACCGCTAGGAAGAGCACCCCCAGAGTCGGCAGCTCCAACTCCGCTAGCACCGCCAGCTCCAGAGTCCCCAGCTCCAGCAGCTCCAGTCGTAGTGCTCCCAGCTCCAGTACCCCCAGTACGAGCACCCCCAGGACGAGCAGCTCCAGCACCCCCAACTCCAGCCGAGCCACTAGGACGGCGAAAGCGCCGGACGTACCAGTCACGAAGCTGCTGCGGTGTGAGAGACTGCTCAGCACCCCGAACCGGAGCACCCCCAGACGCAGTAACCCGAGGCTCCGTAGGCTCAGTAGCAGCACCCCCAGGCTCAGTACCCGCAGGCTCAGCACCCCCAGACTCAGCACCCCCAGACTCCGCACACGCAGGCTCAGCACCCCCAGGCTCAGCACCCCCAGGCGCCGAACTCTCAGGCACAGTACCCTCAGCTCCAGCACCCGCAGTCCCAGCACTCCCAGGCCCAGCACCCGCAGGCTCAGCACCCCCAGGCTCAGCACTCCCAGCAGTACCACCTGCAGCAGCACCTGAGTCACCTGTGACCTCGACAGGCTCAGCGACGGGAGGAGGGTCTACCTGAGAGACACCTGAAGGAGCAGGACCCTGAGGGGGGAGGGGGTCTACCGGAGGGGGACCAGGAGCAAGGAACAGCGGCGGGGGAGGGAGGGGGGCAGTGCGGTAGGGGAAGAGACGGTAAAAAGGGACCGACTCGTCAAAGGTGACGTCCTGAGAGGCGAAGACCCGGCGCGAGGTGGGGTGGTAAAACTGCCAGCCAGGCGCGTCAGGGACAAAGCCAAGGAAGACACAGGGAAGCGTGCGGGAGGAGAGCTTGTCCGCAGACGTATCGCGGACAAGGGCACGAGCACCCCAGACCCGGAAGCGCGACGCATCGCCAACCTCCCCCGTCCAACGCAGTGTGGGCGAGGTCTCCGGCAAGGAGACACGGGGCCAGAGGTTGAGCTGATGCGCGGCGTACCGGACAGCAAACGGCCACAGAAAATGGGGAGCCGCCGCGTGGACCAAGGAGGTACGAGCAACCTCCATGACCAGGCCAATGCGGCGCTCAGCAACCCCATTCTGCTGTGGGGAGTCCGGAAGCGTGAAGGTCTGCTCGATGCCCTCCGCCTGACAGAAGGTCCTCAAGAGGTCGGAGGAAAACTCACCACCTCTGTCAGAGTGCAGACGCAGGACAGGAAGATCCGTCCGGAAACGGCGGCGGAGCTGGAGACGAACTGTGCGGATCCAAGGGATCAGAACAGCAGGGACCTCACCCTTGGTGCGCAAGGGGAAGACCGTGGTGTAACGCGAGTAGTCGTCGACAACCAGCAAAAAGTACCGCTCACCGCCCTGACCACGAACGCGGGCTGGGCCCCACACGTCCAGGTGGAGGGTCTGCAGAGGAGCCTCTGTCGGGGGGAACGAGGAGGAGTGAGGAGCGGCGCGCTGCCGCCCCTCGACGCAAGGAAGGCAAGGCGGCGCAGGCGAGGCAGGGAGGGGAGGGAGGGACCTGGGAAGACCAGACACAAGGTGGCGACGGTGCATGCCACGAAGGCGTGGCAAGGAGGGGTGACCCAGGCGGTGGTCCTAGAGAAGAGTCTGGTGCGACAGGGAACGACACTCACAGGCGTGGGCCACCAGACCTGACGCGGACACCTGACCGACAGCAGCGACCTGAGGAGACGCAGTGGTCAGTGTGTAGAGACTCGACCCCGGCCGACGAGTAAACGTAGCCAGGTGACGGCCGGTCCTGGAGCACGTGCAGATCGCCACACGCTGTCCTCCAGGGGTAAAGGTGTCAACCCACTGATCCTGGATGACAGCGTTGCTCACCAGGTTCGTCGAGAACGAGGGGAGGTGGAAACCCGTCAACGAGCCAGACGGAACCGCCGGACAAGGGAGCACAGTGGTGGACTGGGCAAGGACTGGGCCCCCAGAGGGGTCAGCCAAGGAGACTGGGACCGGTGCAGGAAGCGGTGTGAGCTCAGTACTGTCTCGAAAGAAGCAGCGGGAAGCACCTGAGTCAAGGGTGAAGGTGTGACAGGTCTCAGCCGGTGCAGTACCTGAGAGAGCAGTCTCTGTGGGTGCTGTACCTGAGAGAGCAGACTCGCAAGCAGCAGGGACAGTGCTGGAGGGAGCAGGTACAGGGGGCACCATACCAGAGAGAGCAGACTCACTAGTACCTAGGGCAGCGGGCCCTATACCTGGGTCAGGCGGCACACACAAGTAACAGTCTCCCTCGGCACTAACAGTCAATGCATACATGGCAGCAATAATAGCATCATAGTCAAGAGCAAAGATATCAACACCAGCCCTCATCAGCTCAGCCCAGCGAGGGCGCTCAACATCCTCGCCCATCTCCTCACGCCAAGCGTCGTCAAGGCGGAAGAAGCAGCGGTACTGAGTGTGGAACTTTCCACACGTCTGCCCCTTGCGATCACCTGTGCGAATGACATAGGAACAGCGGCCACTGCCCCCCGACGTCCCACGCTGAGCAAGCCACTCACGAAGCTGCTGGGTCGACTGGGGACGCTGCTGCTGCTGGGAGCTCTGGCCCGAGCCGGTGCCTCCACTCCGACCTCCACCGCCGCCACTACCTCCGCTCCGACCGCCACCACCGCCACCGCCACTACCGCCACCGCCGCCACTGCCGCCGCTGCCACCACCGCCACTGCTCCCGCCGCCGCCCCCGCCTCCGCCGCCGGCCCCACTCCCACCGGCACTCCCGCCACCGCTCCCTCCAGCACCGCCTCCCCCCCCACCTCCCCCACCCCCTCCCCCCCCAGCGCCACCCCCGCCACCCTTGCCCCCCTTGCCCTTGCCGGTGCGGCGCCTCCCACCAGGAGCAGAAGCAGCGCCAGCAGACTCAGCACCAAGGAAGTCAACAGCAGCAGCAGTAGCATAGGAGGGAGCGAGGGGAGAGGGAGAGCACCCCTCAAAGATGGGGGTGCGAGGAGCGCCGCGAGCAGCACCAACAGCTACAATGCTCTTCTCGGCTGCTAGCAGCTTCTCCTCTAGGAGGGCGACAGTGAGCTCAGTGGGACAGCGAGCAAGGAAATAGTCGCGCACTGAGCTGAGGGTGTCAGGGAGACGGGTGACTATGAAGTGGAGTGCCCAGTACAGGGGAGGGGGGTTCTTAGCGCAGAACTCGGTGGGAAGGGCGGCACGCAGGCGAGCATCACTAGTGCGAAGGTGGGTGATAAGATCGGCGACTGTAGCAAAGGTGGACAGGTCAGGGAACAGGTAAGGCAGCATGAGGCGGCTAAGCTCGGCTGTGGCAGGCGAGGAGTAGCGAGCAACGACAGCATCGTACAGGGCCTTAGCGGATTTGCAGTCGCCAAAATGCTCGAGCTCAGCTAGCGGCAGGTGACTGCGAATGGCTAGGCGAGCAGCTGCGTCACGAGTCTGCCAGTGGGAACGAACACTAAGCTCAGCTGTGGCAGGGGGGGCAGGTGCAGCACCAGACGCGTAATCATAGAGCGACACATGCTCCTTGCTATCGCTCAGAAGGAACAGCTGCAGGTCATCCAGCCAAGTGGCGAACTTCACAGGGCGGCCCTCAGCATCGAACGACAGCACGCGGATGGAAGCCATAGCGACAGTGCGACTGAGCAAAGGAAGCTGCCACAGCGCTGCAGGTAGGTAGCTCGGCGGGAAGCGCGGCGGGCGGGCGACGCGGCGAGCAGGTAGTGCGGGGGGCGGGCTACGAAGCGGGCAGCGCGGTGGGCAGGCGGCGCTGCAGGCGGGAAGTGCGGCGGGCGGGCTGCGAAGCGGGCAGCGGGGCGAGCGGGCGACGCGGCGAGCGGGCAGCGCGGCGGGCGGCTGCGAAGCGGGCAGCGGGCGGGCGGGCGACGCTGCAAGCGGGCAGCGGGCGGGCGGGCGACGCTGCAAGCGGGCAGCGAGGCGGGAGGGCGACGCTTCGAGCGGGCAGCGGGCGGGCGGGCGACGCTGCGAGCAGGCAGCGAGCGAGCGGGCGACGCTGCGAAGCGGGCAGCGGGCGGGCGGGCGACGCTGCGAGCGGGCAGCAAGCGGGCGGGCGACGCTGCGAAGCAGGTAGCGGGCGGGCGGGCGGCGCTGCGAGCGGGCAGCGAAGCGGGCGGGCCGCGAAGCGGGCAGCGAGCGGGCGGGCGGGCTGCGAAGCGGGCAGCGGGGCGAGCGGGCTGCGAAGCGGGCAGCGGGGCGAGCGGGCGACGCTGCGAGCAGGCAGCGCGGCGGGCGAGGGGCGAGCGGGCAGCGTGGCGGGCGGGCGACGCTGCGAGCGGGCGGCTCGGCGGGCGGGCGACGCTGCGAGGGGCGCGCGAGGGCGCTAGCGAGGGGCGCGCGAGGGCGCTAGCTGTCAGAAATAACTGAACAGGAATGAATGAACTAGAACAGAGTTTGGTACAAGTAGGAAACCCTAACTTTGTGTACCCCCTAAGGTGTAACCCACTACAGCCTAGACAATATAAACATGCAATGTTTGACACACCCCCATAGGCGCAGTGGGAGACAGCTACAGGGTCACAAGACCAGTCAAAGCAAAGCAAAACAAGCTCAGGGTGGATCTCAAGGATTCCACACAAATTCCGAGCACAAGCAAGCGGTCACAAGACCAGTTCACATGCAGGTTTATAACAAAGCAAGAGATACAGTGATCACAACCTAGCAAACGTAAACAAGTAGGCATATATATATAGTGATCACAGTACAAGCAAGGTCAAGAGGTAAGTAAGTGAGGCCCAGTAGGTACAAGGCCTAGCAGAGTGCAAAAGCGCTGATGGTCACAAGGCTGAAGCGCCTTGGTGAACACATCAGCAGTGTTGGCCTCCGTGGCCACGTAACGCAGACAAAGCTGACCACGCTGCTGCAGCTCTCGAGCCAGGAAGTACCGCAGAGCGATGTGCTTCGTTCTGTGCTCCAGTCTGTGCTCCTCACACAAGGCAATGGCAGCCTTGTTGTCGACGTACAGCACTGGAGGAGAACGAGGCCGCTCTCCGAGGTCGGTCAGCAGGTAGGTCAGCCAGCGTAGCTCCTGAGCGGCCATGGCTGTGGCGTAGATCTCAGCCTCACAACTGGAGCTGAGAACAGAAGAAGAGCGAGTAGAACGCCAAGAAACTGTGCCAGAGCCAAGGCTGAAGGTGTAACCCTGGGACGACCGCTGAGTAGCCTGGTCGTCTGCCCAAGAAGCGTCTGAGTGCCCTGTGAGAACAACCCGGTCTCGCCCTCCAAGCACAAGCCCCATGCCCGACGTACTGCACAAGTAGCGCAACACCCTCTTAGCAGCATCCATGTGCTCCTTCCGGTGACGGCCAGGAGCGACATAGCGTGCTAGGATGCTAAGAGGGTATGCAAGGTCAGGTCGAGTGCAGGTCATCAGGTACATGAGGCAGCCCACAAGCTCTGGATACGGGCCACTCGGCTCTACGGACTCATCCGAAGGCAGAGCTGAGAGCGAGTGACCGGTAGGCAGAGGAGTGGACTGAGGCGAGGAGTACGTGAAGCGGAAGCGCTGGAGAACCTGCTGCACCATGTGTGACTGAGTCAGGGTGATGGTGCGCCGTGCTCTGTCCCGGGTGATCCACAAGCCAAGATAGCTCCGCTCACCCAGGTCTGTGCACGTGTGTCTCCTCTGCAGCTCCGACTTCACGTGAGCGAGTGCCGCGGTGTCAGCAGTGGCAAAGACCAAGTCGTCGACGTACACGAGGATGTAGAACGGCGGGAGCGAGGTGTCGGTGCGTAGAAACAGCGACGGGTCAGCAGTAGAGGGAGCGAACCCAAGAGCCGCAAGTGTCGTCCTCAGTGTGTCGTGCCACTCACGTGGCGCCTGGCGGAGACCGTAGACCGGCCGCTGAAGCCTCCACTGGGTGCCAGGAGGAACTGACCCAGTGAAGCCAGGGGGGCGGCGCAGCCAGATCTCCTCGTGCAGGCTGCCCTGCAAGAAAGCAGTGCTGAAGTCAAGAGAGTGAAGCTCGTAGTCGCGGTGAGCGGCTATGTGCAGCAGCACCCGAAGAGTAGTCATCTTCGGGGTGGGGGAGAAGGTCTGAAAGAAGTCTACTCCCTCTCGCTGACTGAAGCCTCGAGCCACGTAGCGCGCCTTGAAAACAGGCGGAGAACCCGGCGGCCGCTTCACCCTGAAAATCCACATGCCACTGACAATGTTCGCCCCAGGAGGGGGAACCTCGTCTACGTAGGTGCCTGTGGACTTCCAGGAGGCCATCTCTGCGTCCATGGCTGTCTGCCACTGAGAGGAGTAGGGACCCGCCATCGCCTCAGCGTAAGAGCGTGGGGTCGGGATGTCTGGTGCATCCGGGTCTCCCTCAGGGGCAACTAGCAAGGACACGAGACGGGGCAAAGCAGCAGCAAGGCAGTGGAACTCCTCCTGTCTGTCCTCAAGGACGTCCGTGCCGAGGGCACACTCACCCCCGACGGACGGAGGACAGGCAGACGCAGACTCAGACCTAGCGACAAGGCTGGCAGCGTAGTCTAGGCGACAGCGAGCAGCAAAGTCAACCAACTCAGCGACCAGGGCAGACGCAGCAGAGGACTCAAAGGTCGGGTCAGTGACAACTGTAGCGAGGAGACGCGTAACAGTGGGACTGGCAGCACGACGGGAGTCAGACTCCGGGTCAGGAAGAGTAGGAAGAGAGGACGCAGGAGGAGACGGCAGTGGGACACGCTGCGGAGCAGTGGAGGGACGCAGAGTCATGTAGTGAGTGCCAGGGACAGGAGGAGGACGCTCACGTGGGACACGACGACCAGTGCGAGCAGGACGAACAGGCGACGCAGGACGAGACTCAGGCTCACGACGCTCTGTAAGACCTCCTGTGGGACCAGCGTAAGGGGAGGGAGCAGGGAGAGGCGAGACAGGCGGTAACTGTGACTGCGGCTGGACAGGCGGAGGACACGCTACGGAGGGAGGAGGACTAAGAGGAGGAGCCTGACCAAGAACCTGCTGAAGGAGCGGTACGAAGTACGGTCGCGGCCGCGCAGCGTCTCCAGAAACAGCAGGGACACCAGTGGCAGCCCCAACGCCCGAGTCCTCAGCACCAGCAGCAGCTCCAACGCCCGGGTCCTCAGCACCAGCAGCAGCACCACCGGTCGGGTCCTCAGCACCCGCAGCAGCTCCAACGCCCGGGTCCTCAGCACCAGCAGCAGGGCCACTGGTCAGGTCCTCAGCACCAGCAGCAGCGCCACCGGTCGGGTCCTCAACACCAGCAGTAGCTCCAACGCCCGGGTCCTCAGCACCAGCAGCAGCTCCAGCCCCCGGGTCCTCAGCACCAGCAGCAGCTCCAGCGTCCGGGTCCTCAGCACCAGCAACAGCACCACCGCTCGGGTCCGCAGCACCAGGAGCACCACTACGAAGACTGCAGCGCCGCGTGTACCACTCGCGGATCACCTGAATGGGGGGGAGCTCCTGGGTAGGAGGGGAAGTACCGGGACGAGCTCCAGAAGCACCTCTCCGGAGGCGGCAGTACTCGAGGTACCTCTCCTGCAGCTGCTGGGAGGAGAGGGCTCCTCCAGGTGGAGTACCCCCAGACTCAGCACCCCCAGACTCAGCACCCCCAGACTCAGCACCCCCAGACTCAGCACGTCCAGACTCAGCACGTCCAAACTCAGCACCACCAGGCTCCGCACCTCCAGGCTCCGCACCTCCAGGCTCAGCACCCCCAGGCTCCGCACCTCCAGGCTCAGTACCTCCAGGCTCCGCGCCTCCAGGCTCAGCACCCCCAGGCTCCGCACCTCCAGGCTCAGTACCCCCAGGCTCCGCACCCTCAGACGCAGCACCCCCAGGCTCAGCACCCCCAGACGCAGGACGCGAGTCAACAGCTACCTCGACAGGCTCACCCGGGTCTACCTGGGACACACCTGAGGGAGCGGCACCCTGAGGGGGGAGGGGGTCTGGTACCTCAGCACCTGGAGCGAGGAAGAGAGGCGGGGGGGGGAGTGGGGCAGTGCGGTAGGGGAAGAGGCGGTAGAAGGGGACGGACTCGTCAAAAGTGACGTCCTGAGAGGCCAGAACCCGGCGCGAGGTGACGTGGTAAAACTGCCATCCAGGCGCGTCGGGAACAAAGCCAAGAAAGACACAGGGAACAGTGCGACGTGAGAGCTTGTCCGCAGACGTGTCGCGGACAAAGGCTCGAGATCCCCAGACCCGGAAACGCGACGCATCGCCAACCTCTCCCGTCCACCGTAGAGTCGGGGAAGTCTCCGGCAAGGAGACACGGGGCCAGAGGTTGAGCTGATGTGCTGCGTACCGGACCGCAAACGGCCACAGA